GCGCATGCGCGTATATCGAATTCCTAGCAGGGATTGTCTCCTGATCTGTGGACTGTACATACCAGGCGAGGCCTTCCAAATATGGGTTAGGGATGACACAACAATGCACGTTGTAGCATTTCTGCGGAAAATATCTGCAGTCTCGTAATAAAATTCCAGAAAGAAGGCTAAGGTGGCGAAGCTGCTGGTTGTAGTCAGCATCAAATTCTGTCACGAAAGATCATAAAACCAGCATAAATGCGAGGGTTTGCGGGTGGAGGGTAATGCACACAGTTCTGTTACATTCTGATGTAGACTATTCCGACACGGAACAAAAAAAAAGAGCCGTTATTCAGAGAAGAAAGAAGGCGCGAGGAAAATCATCAAGGTGAACACGGTTGACTGCTGACTTCTTATTTCAGATCGTAAGTGACAAGGAATTAATAGTTTCGCTGACACAGAAAATCCATTCCTGATTCCTAAGGACTGAATTACAGAAGCTTCATCCTGTAAACAGTTTTCATTAACATGCCGTGGCTTGAGTAACGGAGGTGTTTTCAAGGACAAGCTAACTGAAGGCACTGCCAATCGACGACACAACAGAAGATCTGCACACGAACACCGACGAAGGAAAGAATATACGAGAACCACACAAATCAGGCAGCATGAGTAATCCATCCATCCATGATTTACAGTCAGGTTAACTGCACAGTTCGTTGGAGAAACACTTCAAGCTCTGAAGAATGAATTCCCATCTTAAGCCAATTTTAAGTAAATGAAGACGATGTAGGATAGAAGCAAAGTGGTTGCGAGACCTCAGACTTTCTCAACCGGGTGTCCATTACGTCATCGGACCGGACTTTCGTGTTTCTGAGTTCACATAGCATTGGCCTGTAAACTGCATAGGTTGTACAGCACCGGACAGGGAAAATCCTTCGTATTATAACAAACAGATATTAGAATATGACAATACAGAAAAAACGATTTGGAAAACTGTACAAGATGCAACAAGTAAACATTTCATAGCAGAAGAAAACACATCAATAAAAACAACAAATAAGCAGTCTTAAACTTTCAGCAAACTCATACAATACTTCCTAATGATTGCAGAAAAACTGAACAATGCAGTACGTGGCTAAATCAATCCCGAGAACCTCCCCAGATTTAAACCTTTCATTTACAAAATAAAATTAAACATAAAATATTATTCATTCCCTAATGCCTAAAAAAAACTAGTGGTTAGGAAAGAAAACTGACAAAATTACTCAAAACGTGCTACGACTATCTTACAAATCAACAGCTGAACGGTTTTCCCAAAATGACTAAGAATTTAAAAAAAAAAAAAATTAAGAATTTTGCAACTACACACCAATTTCATTACTGACAGAATTTTCCAAAATGTATGAAGCAGTTAATACAAGACAGTAGCAACATTCTAACAAATGAAAAATTTTGATTTTGAAGAGTTCGCAGCTGATAAGATCTTGTATAAATTCAGATGAAGTCTTATGTGCCCTTAAAGATATATAGCATGACCTCGCTAGAGCATCTGATTCAATGAGGCAAGATTAGAACTAGATTTTTATGGAATTCAAGGTAAAGCTGTGCAATGGTTTAAATCAAACAATTACACTAAAAAATAGCAGAAATTAAATCTCCTAATTCAGTGGTTTGTTGCAAAACACGGAGTTCAATACTCGATCCTCTGCCTTTCCCAATTATCTACCTTAAACCATCCAGGCCTAAAGACTCTTCACCAACAGAGTCATCCCAAGTCAAATCAACACACTTCAGGGGCAACATCGTCATGACAACTCCTGATTCTAATACAGTTTTGCGAGCTCGCTGGGTCTTCCTAGAAGTAACACACGTGAAACGTTTCCTTCCTGCGGCCAGTAATTGCAGTGACACAAAACTTTCATGTTTAAACTTTCCTCAAATTTTATTCCCTAAAATCCTTATGCCCTAATTATGACATGAAACTAATTCTTCAACCAACTGAAAGCTATTAAGTGGAACTTTAATTTATAATTTCACTCATAATATTGTTGGGGCACATTAACGTGACTTTGACCTCTAACCTACATTTATAAAAAAAAAAACATATTACCAGATTTATGCAATGAACTCCCACAATCCTTGGTGATCATTTCAATACACATGTACAAATTATCATGCTGTGACATGAAAATGATGAGAAGACATGATTTTCTTTTTCTGTCAGAGATCTAACGCTACACCGAATAGTTGTTTATCCTTATCATAGAAATGTGTAGCATCACTCTGATGATGGAGGCAACAAGATCCTCCGAAACGTTAGTAAGCTTCTACGGGACTGCATGGCGCTACAATCCAGAAGACAGCCATTTTGTGTTGCATTGTCTCACAAGTTCTGTGGTGGTCTTGTCAAGTGCAAAATTCATTTTTATTTCTGACAACTTTAAAACTCCAAGTGCTCTCCAAGTGTCAAAGAATTAAATAAATGTTTTAAAACAGTGTCGCGATGCTCAGAATGCCAGTCACGTTGCATGTTCCAGGCAAGACCTGAGACCTGTGCTGGACTGGATGATAAAAAAGGTTCCTTACTATTCAGAAAAGACAAAGAATCTTTGAAAAAAAGCAGGAATATTACTGCAAATTTGCCTAAAGCTTTAGAACTGAAGCACTTGTCTCTTTAAGCTCAGGATATAAATAATCAAGATGGAAGACTTGTTGAGTTTTGACAATGAAGCACTTCCTTAAAACAACTTTGCAATCATTACAAGAGTCGCCACTTTCAACTTAAAAGTTGTCACAGGTAAGTCCAAGATGCCATGAAGAGAAGAACGTTCAATTTAAGAGACTCCGGTTGTAGTGACATTTAAGGTTAAGGTGAAAATATAGCAAAGTTATAGAAAAAATTTAATATAACAGGAAACAATAATGAAAAGTTCAGAACGTTGATGGTTATTCCTAAGAGCTGGTCAATTAGGAAAACACAACAAAAGTGCAAAGCTTCAAATTACATGGTTCAGATTTCCAAGAAATGAGTGGCTGAGAAAGGCAAAAATGTAAAACCAGGCAAAGTGATACGTTCTGTAACAGCTGGCATCGTGAAACAATTCTGTGTCCAATGAAATCAAAAGGATCGTGCCAGGAAACAAGTGATTTTGTTTCTGGAAACTCAAAAGACAAGAAGGCCCATCAGAAATGGCTGATAAATAAGTAACCTAAACAAAGCCTACTTAGATTTCAAGAAAATGGAACATGAGAAGCTGCTGGCCTTTCAAAGTTTACCGAGTTATGGCCACACTGCATGCTGATTGGAGCAAGTGGTATGCATGGAGTTTAAGGCCTCCAGAACTTGCACCACTACATATCCACCTTAAAAGTGGCAACTGTGATATTTGTCAAAATGCTCGTTAACACCAAACAATCAACGCAGCGCACACCTGATAGCTGAAGTTATACATTCAGACAAAAATTTCTTCAGAAACAAAGTGTTCACAACCACATATATAGTACACGTGCAGTGAAATTTAACTAAACTAGCTCTACTAAATTTTTTCATGAATCTTTCACCACAAGACATTTTGTGGGTTCCTGCTTCAAAGGGATTACAAAAGTGGACCCACAAAAAACAACATAACACACACACGCGCGCGCTATCAGTGGAAAGAATCCTGTTGCGCCACTGAAAAACTAGAAACCAGGCGTCACAGACTGTAAATATCTACACTTACAGGTAATATTTCCCACTTTTGTGAAAAATTAAATTTTAATTTTTTAATGAATAAGTCTGCCAGCTTTCCTTTTTGCCTTTCTCATCAAGAGTGTACTACCTACGTAGCCTACTGCAATCTTTAACCCAAGTGACCAACAACAATTTACGTGTAACCTGTATTTATAAAAAAAAAATCTCTCATCAACCTATTCATTTTCCAAATTTTTACTTAAAGAATCAAAAAATGTTCTGGGAAAAATTATAAAATCTGGCCATATATTTTTTTATAAATTAAGATGAAAGATCAAGGTCAAAATGTTGATGGGCATTAAAATATTACGAGTAGTATACCCAAAGGAAGCACACTTAAGAGCTTTCAATTGGTGCAAGAATAAGCTCTCTACCTTAATAAGGACCAGAGTTATAAGTATTGTAATGAATCAAATATGGGAAAATTTAAGGAAAACTGAAAAACCCAATAACTATGAAAATGACACTGAAAAGAAAAACGTTATATTTATCACTTACTCATCAGACTAGGCATAAGAATCACAACCTTCAATATACCTGATGTTCTAAAATTTATGTTCCTTATTTTCTGGCTTCCATTACTGATATTATGAAAGTTATATTCAAGGTATTAAATTTCAATCACTTTATCATATTTACTTCATCAGTTTTGTTCTGCATGAGATGTGTGTTCATCCTATGCATTCAGTAAAAAATGGTGAACACCTATGTGTTCTGTTAGGTGGTAAGAGCCATTGTGGGTTTTCTAAATATGTTATACAGTGCATTATTGGGTTTTCTAATAATTGTGAAATCTAAAATGTTACTTTCTTTTTCAATGGCAAGCTGTTGTTTCGGATTTATTACATTGATTCACTGAATCGTTTAAAGGTATAAATGGTGTCAGTAATTTGGTTATTATAAACTAATAGTATATCATAGGTCGAAGTAACCTACATCTCACATGACTACAAAAAACTATGTAATGGATGGTCCTATATGACACAATAGTCCTATTCAACTTTATTTTATTACATTAGGCACACAGTTTCCGCTATTTTCATATAGCAACTTGGATAATTAGGGCACCATCTATCACACGAATTATGCAAAAGTACGAAAAAAATGTTAACAAATAATTGCACCATTCATTCAAAAGCATATGCCATTAATCGAATGTACTGATTTGTACAAATGTCTGTCAACTTAATTTACATTTAAACAGCATATCGGGAAGGTAAATTACGCAACGATAGTCGCCAGCAGTACTGCCTGATCAATGACATTTCTTTCGGAATTGTATACTCACCCAAAATATCACGTTAAATGCAAATATAACATACTTCATACAACAGCTAACTTCACTAGTGTCTCTTCTATATTTCCGAACAGGCATTTTAGCCACATTTAGATCACAATTCATATACAAAAGAACAAAATAATAATCAGCTGTCCACTTTCCCATACAACGATGCTGCCATTGTCACTCCACACCACGGATTACACACTTCAGTAGTGAACGAACTCCCAACCACACTAGCCCACTCTTCTGATTAGTTCTCCATCCCTACGTTGGGGACGTTAGCTCTCATTGTTTCTTCTAAGAGTGCATATAAACATACACCCATGATAGCAAATAACGATTAAGTCTATTCAGAACTTGTCACTATAAAATATTTTGGAAATTTGAGAAGCATACATGACAACAACAACATGGGTATTAAATGTAATCGTCAAGCATCACAAAATGGAGTATTTGAAAGGAAAGTGAAGCTGTTGGCAACACTGTAACAAGTAACGGGAAACACTGAAACAATGTTGGTTGTATCTGTGGTAACAGAATATTAAAATATTACATTACTCAAAGCAAAATAACATCAATTTCTGGACAGTTTTCTGCCCCTGACTCTAGCTCCTTGTTGTTTTCAAAATAACAGTGACAAAGTGTTACATCAAATCCGTGCCGCTATTATCCGTGACTCTTAACATTCCCACAATTAACTTAGCACCAATTATATTACCTCTGATTTTTGCAAGGATTTCTCTATGTCCATTGACACAGTCATTTAGTTCTAGTGATTGGTAGTGAGGATGAATCAGACAGTGTTTCGACATCAATTGTAACAATTTTGTTGTTCAACTGCAACTGCTGTACAAGTTCACTGTTTTGTAAAATCAAGAGCTGAGTGCAGCAGTAATGGATTCTGCGGCGGCAGCAAATGTTCCAACCTCACCATGGGGAAAGCTGAAGCAACCAACAGAACCAGTTTGTCTGGCAGATATTATGTCCGAAGAAATGGCGAAAGACTTGCATAACAAAGAAGAAGAACGTTGTGTTAAACACTTGCTTGCAGAATCTGAGCCATTGCCGATCATAGACTGTCCTCTAGGTTGTGACAGTGACCACATGATTGCACAAATGTTGCAGGTTCAGTTTGATAAAGAATACGACAGCATGCTTAAGAGGACAGAAGATAAGTTTAATGGTTCCTCAAAAGTATGTATATCATATTCAAATTATCGTGTCATTCCAGAAAACCTCATATATGACAGTTCCTCTGAGGATGATGATGATGACAAAGGTCAAGAATGGGACAGTTTTGTATGTACAGAGAAGGCTTTCAGAGCCATGCCTAAATGTGGGTACAAGAAAGAAGGTGATGAAATGGTAACTAAACATGATATGGCAATGTCTGGTCGCCGAAATGCATGTCGTGTAATGGAATTTCCTCCAGAGTTCCAAACAGGAGATGGTGGTGGCTTTGATATGCAGCTGTCTAATAAAGTATTCAACAGCCTGAAAGTCCACTCACGCAGTGAACAGTCTCGCAGGCATCGTTTACATGATAAGACTGAACAAGCAACAGCAGAAATGTGTGTTGATGCCCGTACCCGTTTGCTACTCTATCGTCTTGTGAATCAAGAGGTATTGGACAGAATCAATGGTATCATTAGTACTGGTAAGGAGGCTGTTGTTCTTCATGCTGATGGTGGAACTGGACAAGACTGCGTTATACCCAAGGAGTGCGCTATCAAGATTTTTAAAACAACTTTGAGTGAATTCAAGACTCGAGATAAATACATACAGGATGATTACAGATTCAAAGACAGATTCTCAAAACAAAATCCCAGGAAAATTATACATATGTGGGCAGAAAAGGAGATGCACAATCTAATGCGAATGCGTAAATATGGCATTCTTTGTCCAGAGGTTGTACTTTTAAAGAAACATGTCCTGTTGATGTCCTTTATTGGAGAAAGTCATAAACCAGCTGAAAAGCTAAAGGAAGCCTTCCTGAAACCTGCTGATTTGGCAGAAGCTTATGTGCAAACTATTGCAGGAATGAAAAAACTGTATAAATATGCTCAACTGGTGCATGCAGATTTGTCAGAGTACAATATTTTATGGCACAATAAGAAGTGCTGGTTCATTGACGTCAGTCAGTCTGTTGACTGCAACCATCCCAAAGCACTTGAATTCCTATATAGGGATTGTGTTAATGTTTCAAGATTTTTTAAAAAGAAAGGTGCAGAAGAAACCATGTCTGCAGAGGAATTATTTACAGATATCACAGGTCTGTCAGTGTCTGAAGATGGTGTTGAAGTACTTGAACAGGTTCAGAATTTTGAGCGAAGTGAGGTGTTGCTAGCTCATGAACAGACAGAGAAACATTACCCATTTGAGTATTGCTGGGACCAGTCGAGAAATGAGTAGTAGAGTGATTTTTCATGTATACTGTGAACTGGTGTCTTCCGTATACTGCTGTAAATTATCCAGTTATAGGATTACTGAACATTTAAAGAAATTTGATTTGTGTGTATTGGTTTAATGTTATGCAGTCTTGGCCACTAGTAGTGTTTGTGAACAAACCGCAAATAAATAAATGTGGTTATTAGTAAAATGTTTGGTGTTATCAGTTGCTCAAAGTTGAACCCTGAACATCTCATGTAATGGAAGTTATTGGCTTGTAATATTGTTTCTTGATTATTCTAGCATTGTAAAACCAACATAACCCGTATGTTTATGAACACTGTGCTTTACAGTACTTGTTGAGCCAGATAATGTCTGTCCCACAAAACTGGATTTTAAAATATTGTGCCTTATAATTATGCAGTGTAACACCTCATGTTTTTTAACTTCTTTTAGAGATAGTAAGTAGGCCTTTATGGTATGCATTGGTGGTAAAGTTGTCTTTGAATGCTAAAGCTTGAATATCCAATCTGTAAATAACTTTGTAGGATTTGAGGTTTTCACAGCGGTGAGTCTGAAGATTGCTGTCTTCTGAATTATTGCGCTGTGTAGTTTGGTAAGATTTCCACCAATGTTTCAGATGTCATACTGCCACCGTCATCAGGGCGAGGCAATGTGACCTCTGAAACGGTGGAAAACTACCAGACTACACGGCGCAATAACCCAGAAGACAACAAACTGTAAATAACTTCATATATTGTATTGTATGAAACAAAAAAGCCAGTTTTCATGAAATATGGGTTGATAGATATAAAAATGGAGGTATGGTCCTCTGTGTAGGGGCTTGGACATGGGGTTGACAACTCCACCCTGTAAAAATCATTTGTTTTGAAAGCTGAAGCAGGCCAAGACCTGCCCTGGGTTATGGCACTTATGATGATGATTGATAATGATGGAGGCTCTGCAATGTAAACATTTGTTGTTGATTGTCATGTTTTATTTGCGTATAAATCCTTCCAGCAGGTAGAAATCACTGCTTTAATATTGTATTGTTTTATGGGAAATAATTGGTCATGATGGGATTTTAATAAAATGAAATTTTGAATTGAATGTTTTGTTATAGCCTATTTGTTTCACGTGCAGTGGTTATTTCAGTTGTGGTGTGTCCAAATGCTACGATATTATTGAAATTCTACTGTGGCTCTAATTTTATTTCCTTGATATATAAGTTCTGAAATTCAATACGGCCACTGTAGTGTTGAGTAATGTTTCGCCATGTAAAGTGTACATACATACATCTTTATTACATTCCATGGATCCATAAGTTAGTCAGATGACAATAGGATGTAGAATAAGTCATAATAATACAATAGATGTTATACAAATACAAGTCATATTATTATATAAATGTCACAAAAATACAAACAAAGTGTTCACATAAAGTAGAGATAAGTTACAAATAAACCCACCCATTATATACAATAGATAGATAAATTATGACTTACTTGTAAACATTAGAAATTCATCGACAGAGTAAAAGGAGTGTGTAATTAAGTATCTTTTTAATGCTGGTTTAAATTGTGCCTTTTTATTTACAAGACTTGTGAGATTTGGTGGTAGACTGTTGACAATTTTTGATTCCTGCACTCTTCTGAAATGCCTGTGTATAATGAGTGATTACAAATGTGGGTTAATGGACGACTAATTAAAGTTGAACAAGCTTTCAAAATTTTACTTGTTATTTCATCATAACCTGTTGAGTTTTTTGACTTGAGGGACTGTGTTACACTTTTCACCTCAGTTTCGGTGGTTGGAATGATATTAAGGCCAGAAAATTTTACAGGAAATGCAGCTTTTAAAATGGAAACAGCATCTTCTGTCCCTGTTTGATTTAAATTTAAGCTTTCAGTAATAGTTAGAAAAAACTTATTGAAGGCATTAGCCACTGTTCCAGGATCCTTTACTTTCTCATTGTTTATTAGAAGAGATGACATCTGTTCTGATAAATATATTTTTCCTGTCTCCCTTTTTATTATGTTCCA